CGACATGCTGAAGACCACCCAGCAGTTTCCAAAGGCAGCTAATTCTTTTGGATGCTCTGCATGAAAAACAATCCCAAACTTTGCTAGAAAGCCTGGCCACACACCGCTCCTGTGAAACCCACAGGCTGCCAGCACCGCCAAAAGCCAGGCTCAACACGTTACAAGCAGGAGATCCAGAGCCCAGTTTGGACAACCAGGGTATGGCTCTGCTACCTCCGTTGCACTGGAAGGGAGAGGTCTGGAAACAAGCCTGAATGGTGGCTAGCAGTGGATTCACTGCTTCCTCCAGTTCCTCTGGAAATCCAGCCTTGAACCCTTCCAGCTCTTGCCCTCTCTTGCAGCCAAGTCACAGTTGTTCGGTCGGATGGGTGACAAGTGTCAGATCCAGTGAACAAGGGGGCAGGAGGCGGCAGCGCGGTGGGGCTGCAGCAGACCTCTCCGCCCTGGTGCTGCTGTCACACTCGCTCTGGCGCCCGCAAGGCAGCGACGTGCGGACGCTGGCATGCGTCAGACAACCAACATGTGCACCTCGGGTGCGGCAGAGCGCTCCAGCTCTCGTGGATGACTCAGGGCTATAATCACTCGAAAGATGTCAAAAGGCATAAACTGAAGGAGAGCAATGCAATATGTGGGCTTTTGAAGCAGAGCCAACAAACCGAGCAGCTGAAGGTCTCCCAAGCCTTAGAGGACCTGGTGAAATCACACACACGGCTTTGCCTTTTACTGCAAAGCCGAGAGCTCCCCACCACACAGGGCCCTCCAAAGCACCCCTCCGGTTGCTCCGCTGTGTCTTACACCAACGCTCTCCCCGCTGACTCTTTCAGGCCAGAGCCAGCACGTTGCCTCTCTCCAGACGTCCCCCCATCCTGCCTGAGCAGGTCACACCAGCACCTTCCTGGCTTGTGGCACCCTCCCAGTCACCCAGGAACTGGACTGTCTCCTCCCTTCATAGAGGAGGAAGGCCACTGACAAAAGTTGTCAGCAGGGACCCAGCACCTTGCACAAGCTCTCATGTGTTTTATGGAAGCAATAGAAGTCTTTGTTAAGCAGAGTTCATCTGGGACCAGGAGATCTGCTCACCTCCTCCTCTCCGAAGCCCCCATACCCACGGTAAGACTTTGTTCAGCAACACTGGGTGCAGCAGGGAAGTCGGTAACACCTCTTCATAGCAGTGTCAGTCGTCCTGCTCTGTATCCTGCCCCGTGGAAGCAGCATTGCTACTCAGGAGCTAGCTTCACCTGCTCCCGATACCTGAGGAACCCAGTCCCCACCCGTGTCCCCTGCCTGCTCTCACGGTGTCCCTGTGGACTGAAGCTGGGGCACAAAAGGGAGGAGAGCCACAGATCCCACAAAAGGGGCGCTCCTCTGCAGCATCCCTACGCTACACCCTGGAGAGCCTCCCCATCACTCAGCCACCAACCGAGGGAGTGGGGAGCGTGCAGAGCTGCTGGAAGGAGAATGATTCAGGTATCTCCTTGCAAGCTGGTGAGACAAATAAAGATACGCGTGTGTTCTGCCGCTTCTTTGCGAGTGGGCTGTAGATCTGGTGGGTGAGCAGGCATGACACCCCTCTTCCTGGTGAGATGAGCCGGGTTAAACTGTCCAACTTGGTCTGGTACACAGGCAGGCTAGGAGGGAAGTCACCAACCAGCACAGCCAGCGAGAGCCTCCTAGGGATCTTTGGTCTCAGCACAAACAGCATTCACAAAACCAGACCAGAGAAGTTACTCAAAGAGTCTCGTGCCTAGAAGCCTGGAGGTTTTACCTGCAAGATGTTCCAGGGTTGCCCTCTCATGAGGGATGCCCTTCTGAGCCCGTTCTCCATCTGGCTCAGAAAGATGGTGCTGTACCACATGGGGCAGCAACGTGGCATCCCCCGGTACAGGCTCAGCACATCCTGGCTAGAAACAAGCAAGCCAGCTCTTGCACGCACAGACGGACCGGCACACACACACGAGCTGGATGACAGACACTCATGAGGAGATGAGCATGGGCCAGGTACCCCCCAAGATGCTGGAGCACCAGCTGGCCTGCGAAAATGGAAATGCACGTAGCTGGGAACAGAAAATCAGAGCTGTGTTTGTTGCACTAATGACCACAGTAAGATCCTGGATAAATTCATTATTTAGTGTGCACGCACAGGACAAGGGAGGTCACCTCTACCAAGGCTGATGATCTGTCACTTCAACACAAGAACAGCAACTGCAAGCCCTGACAAAAGCACTGACCCCTAAAATGCAGTGTACAAAACCAACTAAACCAAGTATAACAAACCTGAACAGGCTAACGAGAGCCTAGGTGACTGCCGAAGCGACTAGGTGGTCAGTCTAGCATAAGCTCAGAGGAAGGAGCAGCTTCACAGAAGCCCGCCCTGCCCCACCACCTCAAGCACTGGTGAGTCCAGACCTTATCTACCACATCTGCCTTAGGCTCCACCAATAACTTTTGCTGCAGCTTTCCTCCGATTTTCTTACTTTGATTTAACCATCTGTGTCAAAAACTGCTGTGCAATTAATTCAGCTGTTCCCTTGTCAAAGGAACTTAACAGCAAGGAAATGTGTTTTGAATGAGCCAGGCAGTGCAAATAAAAATGAAATCCTCCCCAGCCAAGCTGAAAGCCCACCTCCTCCCTGCCCATGGTCAGGCTTACGTCTCCTCTTCACAACCTGCACAACCTGCAAGCTTGGAATTTATTCTCGTTTCACACCATCACTGCAGCACTGCAATGTGCCGGGCAAACCCCACTGCTAGGTGGAAATTACATCTTCTGCATGAAGCCAGCATCAGCTCCACCACTGACCCCTGGCTTGCTGCACCCAGCTCCCTCAAACTAGGGCAAAACCCCCAAAGGAGACCAGCTCAGCTCTGCAAACCATCTCCTGAGGGTCGCTCCCGAGACCTCCCTCTCCTCCATCGCCCCAACAGGGGCACAGCAGGCGGGGCTGCCGAGGTCCAGCCCTGGAGATCTCATCCCACAGAGTGAAGTGGAAGACAGAGGGACAACATTAATCTGTACGGAAGGAAGTGGAGCTTTGAGAGAGGGAACGGAAGCAGCAGAGGGAAATAGAGAAAAGTCTAGGCAGAAAACAGAGGGAAGACTTAGCGACCTGGGTTAGCTTCTGGTAAAGTTGTTTGCTGCCTGGAAGCGCACAAGCTATCCAAGTTATCTGTTCCCTTGCTGCAAATCAGGGAGAATATTAATCCACAGACTGCAAAAACCCCTACATATTGGTCTTGTCCACCCAAGCCCACTACACTGAGATCCCTCTAAGCAGGTTTTCTTCCGATTAGGAAGTCTTGGTGGTGCACAGATGCAGTCAGGAACAGAAGGCAGCTGCGCTGCTTCAGAAACGTTGGGGTTAAACAAAATAAAATTCAAGCATCAGTGTCGGCTAAATAGAGAGAAAACAAAATTATCAGAAATTCTCTCTTCTCTCCCACAGTGCATAAACAGTGGAGACTGCAAGCTATTCAAAAAGTCACCAAGGGTATTTCTTTAATAAGAGGAGAACACAGAAAATGACTGTGCAATAAAAAAGCCAATTATCCGGGAAAGATACACTACCTACTCATAGCCTGGCACAGCCCTGCAGAGAGAATTCACGCTCACGTGCTCACAAGCCCGTATATGCAGCTCACAATGAACACGGAGAAGAGCACTGCACCAGAGAGGGCTTTTCTTTGGTCTGGAAACCCACAGCTAGATCCAGGATCCAGCTTTGCCACTGATGTTCAACAGGGCCACGTTTTCCGTCTCCGTTTGCATGCAGAGAGTCGCCTGTCTCTGCATACACTGAGAACCAGCGTGTGCAGAACAAGCTGGGCACCGATGAGCCGCTGCAACGGGGCAGCGATGCTCTGGCTACGACGGGGACTAACGGAGCCCTGTGCTGTCCCCGCAGAGCTCCCGGGCAGCAAAGGGCACGCTTATGTGCGCGGGCTCGCTCAGCTCTGTCTCGCACAGCATGCACGTTCACAGGCGGGACAGGGGAGGCTGCTTGCTTACAAGCCAGCTCTGAAACAGCGGGCTGAGCTGCAGGTGAGTGGCTCCGAGCAGCTCCGATGCGTCACCCCCGGCCAGCTGAGCCACGGTAACGGGCTGCTCTCACGCACCGTCCAGGCTCCCAACCAAGGCAGGAGCAAACACCCCTTCTCACACGCGTGCAAGAAGCGGAGAGCGTGCACGCAGCCCGTTACCGCAGCTCAGCTGACCCCAGTAGCACACTAACTGCTGTGGGAAGGTCCGAGCAGCCACTCTGCCTCCAAACAGATTTACAGGTTCGGTAAAGCAACGCCTCTGCCCATCCCTGCCCCCCTTGGGGCATCCTGGGGCTGGGCAGAGCCGCGTCGGAAAGAAACGGCAGCTTTTGGGCGCAGTGTGCCCTTTTCACAGCAATGCTTTTAGTTGCTCATGAACACACGGTTCTTTTAACAAGAACTGCCAATTTTTGCACCCCTCAGGAGGGTGGACTCATACATCAGTCCTGCAAAGGAGGAGAAGAGGTAAAAATGGAGGAAGCAACCAACAAGGAATGGGGGGGAAGGACCAGAAAGTATCATAAACTTGTTAAAGATGCAACAGCATAAAAACTATTTTTTTTTAAACGCTCTCCCGCCCCATCCTTCATTTTGGAAATCAATGTGCAAGTCAAGGTTTAGAGGGAGAGAGAACAGGCTGGGTTAGGTTGGTGCAGGTGCTCTCTGTGGTTATTAGAAGTCATGCATTGTAATAGACTATCACTCACTGCCCGCAGGAGGAGATGCAGCAGCAGCAGCAACAGCAGAAGTGGTGGGAGTGGAATTGACGGAGGAAAGAGCTACATGGGTTGGGCTAGAAACATTTTTTACATCGTGGTGCTGGCTCACGATGGAAGGCTGTCTCCTGAGGGCTCCCTGCAAAGAGGAGGCGCCGGTCTGGAATGTGTAAACTACGTCCATCTGCAAAGAACCAGAGAGTGAGATAGCGTTGCCCCGGCCAGAGACAGGGAGAGGGGTCGGGGATGGAGGGGAGCAGGGAAGTTGGGCAGACACACATGGACAGGAAGGAAGGAGGACGGAGAGATGGGGAGGAGGGAGGAGAGAGCCCCCCCACCCCACGCTCCCGTAAACCCGCACCGGGTTCAGCTGGTGTTTCTGGGAGCAGAGGAGAGGTCAGCTTCCAGCCTCTGCCTCGCTCTTGCAGGCACGAGAGGGGCAGGGTTTATCCCACCACCAAGAAAGAGACTGCGGTGGGAGGGAGCGATAGAGGAAACACCTTGGGTTATCCCGACAATCTGCAGGAGGAGCAGAGAAAGAGAGAGGGTGGGCAGAGATGCGAGCTGGCAGCCGGTGGTCCAGAAAACTGCACTAGGAAAGGGTTTCTGGTCCCTCAGCCCCATGGGACGTACACTTGAGGGGCTGAATCCTGGGACACACCACACGCCTGCAGCTCCCATGGCAGCTGGCCGTGCTGGAAGACGTTTCAGCCTCTATCTCAGGCTCACGGCTCTGCACTGGGCTCAGAAGCAGAGCTGGTAGGGGCGGGCAGGGATGCAGCAAGGAAGCACTCTTGGTGGTGGGCCACAGTTGCTCTGTGGATGCATGCTGAGGCCGGAGGAACCGAGCAGCATCCAGGTGCCATCGTGGCTTCCCAGACACTTTGCAGCTTGACTGTCCCCAGCCCCGTGCCAGCCAGCCTGCTGGCAGAGTGCACAGCCCTGCGCCGCCCCAGCTCGCCCGTCTTGGCTGCACAGCTCCTCAGGAAGGGACACCTCCTCCAGACCCACATGCAGCTCTAGTTCACCCTGGAGGTATTTTACACACTGCAGTTTGATCTCCCTCCACGGAGGGACCCTCTTTTCCCCAGCACACCAGGCTGGCCTGCGGGGAAGAGCCCTGTGCTCTCACTTAAAACGTGATGACTCGGGACAGAAGCCCTCAAGATGCTCATGTTGGACCTGCCAGCTGCTCTGCTCAACGTGCAGGGCACCACAGCCAGGAAAGGAGTCCCTAAAGAGGCTCCAGGATGTGCCAACGTCCAGGAGTGTTTTCCACGTTGCAAGACTTAAGAGCTCGTTTCAGCCCAAGTCCACCACGGCTGCAGGGAGATATGTCGGAGGCTCTGGGCTCGGCCCCAGCGGCATGCCTGGCTGCTGGTACTGCAGCCGTTCATACCAACACATCCAGACCGCTTCTGAAACAGCCCAGTGCTCCCAGCACATCTTTCATGTGAATGAGCCAGGCTGAGCCGGCAGCTCAGCCCCCCACAGCACCAGCAACCAGCGCTGCCCTGGGCCTCCAGAAGAGCCCAGCTGCCCCTCACAACGGGCGGGGAATAAGGCTGAACCTCACCTTGAAACCACCAAGGCAACATCTCACAGAGGAGAAGCAAAGTTAACACAGCACAACGCGGCTGCTGTGCTCGCTCCAGTCCCTGCGTCTGGGCCACTTTGGTTATCTCCATTTGTCGGAGGGCCAGAGGAGAAGGAACGAAGGATAACAAAGCAGCCCTGAATGCCAGGGGCCACTGGGGGCCTACAGCTTTCCTCCATGGGGCAGCTCTGCCCAGGCCCCAAGGAAAGACGAGGGGCAGCGACCTTGGTGCAGGGATCTCTCCCTGCCCTGCCCAGCAAGCCGTCCAGGGGGAAAATAAAAACAAAACACCCTTTCAGGAAAAACTGAGTCAGGGAGAAACAGCTGATGTAAAAACTGTATTAACAGATAGATTCTCCTCCTCTTCTGTGCTGCGGGGCCAAGAGCTCCAGGCAAGGAGCCTGGAGAGCTGGCAGGGAGGGGTGGCAAGAGCCCGTGGCCAAAGGGCCATTGGGAAGGACAGAGAGAGCAGCAGAGGAGCGAGACCAGAGAGGGTCTCACGCAGGCAGATCCCTCCTGGGCACGATCCCCAGTGGGACTGGCATCCCAGCAGTGACCAAGAGCGGCTTCAACACTGGCCCGCTGCACAACTCGGTAAGAGCCCAGGCGACTTGGTGGCCGCCCAGCAGCTTCCGAGCCCCCTCCTCTGCTGCGTGAGGTGCCCATCGGCAGCACATCCAGCCTCCGGCAGACCAGCATGGCCTCAAGCTGCAGGATGCTGCGCTCTGCATCAGAACAGACCGGTGCCTCCCCCCGCCCCGAGCTGTTCCCGAAAGCCAGGCTGTCCTGGTTCCCCAACCAGGGCAGACCCAGAAAGGCACAGGTGGTGGGAGAAGTCTAGCCCAGGAGGCAATGGCATCCTCCGAGCAGCAGCCGTCGCCTCTTTCCAGATAGAGCCCCTGGAGAGAGAGAGAGAGAAAGAAAGAGAGAAAGAAGAAAGAGCCCCACAGTACCTGTGTCTGTATCCTGTTGAGACCCCTGAACCACAGGATCTGCCCACGCCGCAGCTCCATTTCAGCATGGTCAATCTCATCCACGTCTTCAGGCAGCTCCTCCTCTGGGATCTCCTCCTTGGTGATGCCATGCCCAGCTTCCTTCAGGAACTTCAGGTGGCTGGTTGGGACAGTGCAGATCAGCTGGGGAGAGGCAGGGAGAGAGTGGCTCCTTAGCCTGCAGGCTATGGCAGCACAGAACCCACCGCCAGCCTTGATCAGACCTTTCCTGCGGCGGGCTGCCAGGACTCAGCTGAGAGATGCCAGAATGCACCCGAGACATGCCACCGCTGGAAGTGCCCCACTGGAAGCCAGGTGGGAACAAGGAGTAGATTAGCAACCTCCTCTCCTCACTGCTGGCGTGGTACTGGGATGGAGCGTCACCCCCTTCCAAAGCTGCCTTGAATAAATACCGGGGAGAACAAGGGCAGCGAGGCAGCGGGAAGGGAGAGGCAGGCTGGGCTGCGAGCACGCCACAGCGTGGAGGCACGTGGTATGTTTTTCAGACTGGCTCCTACCTGGCCCCAGAGGAGCTCTCCCACTCCGATAAAAATACACCAGAACCACTGGCTTAGGGTGAGCCCAGAGCAGCTGAACGGCTTCCCACCAAACTCCACAATGATGATCTACAGCACAGGAGAGAACAAGTCACACACTGGGGAGCTCCAAGGGCTGCACAGCACAGCCACGGGATGAAAAGGTCACCTACGGCCACACATCTTTCCCCCGTTCCCTGGGATCACGAGAGGAGCAAGGACCTCACATCTAGGCTAGTAGCTTTACAGGACACCAGAGGCGTGCTGGCTGGCTAGCCCTGGCACCTCCCAACACACTCTAGACCCCAATATTCAGGTTTTGTGTCACCAAGAAGCTGCTGGAGAAGAGTAAGGGAACAGGACAGAGCTGTGGGCAGTGACTGCAGCAGACACGGGTCCCGCCTGGGCAGCATGGTCCCCTCCCAGCCCCACCGTCTTATTCTCACGCTGTTCCCGCAGCTTCACCTGAGCTGCAAACGTCCCCAGCACCACCGTGCAGAAGATGGGGTTGCGGTAGATGGACTCGAAGACGTTCCTCTCCCCGTGGATCTTGCGTGCGTTGATCTCGTTGAACAACTGCATCATGACAAAGGTGTTGAAGACGATGGTGTAGTGCTCAGTGGGTGGGGAGTGCAGAGGGACGTTCCGGCCACTGTCGATGTCAAAAAACTTCTCCCCTAAGCAGACAAGGGGTTTTGGGGAAAGGATAGGGAAGGGCAGGGAAGAGAGAAGATGACATCCTGCTCCTTACTTCTCTGCACTGGTAGAGGTGGAATTAGGATCCCAGGCTCTTGCTGAAGATCCCTTGACCCAGCTGGAGTCCCCCATGCTAGCCCCACTGAACCCTTATTTCCTTAAAAATGTTGAAAAGCTGTTTCCCTGGCTAAAACTGACTCAGCACTCAGTGAACTCTAGAACAAAAAATCCTCTCCTTATCACCCCTCCGCTTCCCATCCGTTAAATAAGCTCTGTCCTGGCCAACGTGAGGTCACCGAGTGACAGCTGGTAACAAGGGTCCCCAGCAGTGGCGATGAAAGGCAGGGCTGGGACTTTGCCCCTTTTCCTTTCTCCCCACCGTTTCTTGGGACCTCAAAGCTCACCCGCAAAAAGCAGCGTGAAAATGATAGTTAGCTGGTACACCGCGTGCCCCAGGATGTTCTTCATCATGGTGCGGGAGATGAGCGGCTTGTTGCGGCCGTACGGCTTGCGCAGCAGCAGGGACTCGGACGGGGGCTCCGTGGCCAGGGCTAAGGAGGCGAAGGTGTCCATGATCAGGTTCACCCACAGCATCTGGACAGCCTTCAGGGGAGAGTCCTGCAGAGAGAGGGGGGAGAACACGTCACGACCCCAGAACTGCCCTCTCTTCTCTCCCTGTTTCGCAGGAGCCCCCGCTCTCCTTCTGCCGAGCCCAGCGGCCCCGTACCTGCGTGATGCAGGCACCCGTGAAGGCCACGATGACGGCCACAACGTTAACGGTCAGCTGGAACTGCAGGAACTTGGAGATGCTGTCGTAGACGTTGCGTCCCCACATCACCGCCTTGACGATGCTGGTGAAGTTGTCATCTGTCAGGATGATGTCTGAAGCCTCCTTCGCCACGTCTGTGCCTGCGATGCCCTTGAGGACCAGGGAGAAAGCGATGGGGTGAGTCACAGGGTGAGCTCCACGCTCACAGTCCACCTGGCTCTGCTTCTTCCCAGAAACAGCCCCAGGAGAAAAATCTGTTGGAGCCAGAGGAGCTGGTGCCAGTCCCGTGTTTGACAGTGAGTCCTGCTGTGGCCGCACCAGCGCACCTGAGAGAGAGGAGGCTCCAAAGCAGCGAAGCCTTCAAGGACGGACATCGGCTCAGCTCCAGAGCAGGGCTCTGAGTCAGCGCAGCTTTACAGCCTGTCGCTGTGAGTGCCCTAGACAGCAGCCAGAGCGCAGCAAAGCTAGAAAACAGCTTCTGAGCGCTGCTTCCTCCTTATGCCATGGAACACAGGGATCCCTGGCTGGGCATCTCTGCTGTAAGCAAGGGTTGGGACCCCCAAATGAGAGAGCGAGCTCAGCAGCCCAAAGCCCCGGCACCTTCCTGGTGCCCTCTGCCCCGTCCGAGGTGGATGGCAGCCCCGCAGCGAGCAGGGCTGCCCACAGCCTCCCAAAAGTCACCTGCAGCATCTCAGCTGGACACAGTTTGCTCTGCAGGAGCTGGGCTCGCTGTGTTTCTCACCGCCGGCACACAGAGGCGCTCGCTTTGCAGTAATTAAATGCACCGAAGTGATGCCGGTAACGAGCAGGTTCCCTGGTGCTTTCCCAGAGAAGCGCTCTCGAGATTTGCAAGACCCGTCTCAGATGGGAACCCCCCGGCTGTTGCAGGGCATGAGTTTCGGAGCAAGCTGGACAGACCAGCCGAAGGTACCCCACATGCTGTTTGATCCCCGCTTTCTGGAGACTCAAGGGCAGTGCAGCCCCGGTGCCTAGCCCCCAGCAAAGCCCAGCGCCTGGCCAGGGTCTGATCCTGCACATGGGGGCAGGGAGCCCCACGGTACGGTCCCCAAAAGAAGACAGACTACCTTCTGCTGTTTGTCCTAAAGGCTCCAGAATTGCACTTGGATATTTAACACCTTTGTAAAAACTCCTACTCCCAAAAAATTTCTCATTTGCTCAAAGCTCCCTACATGGGCTCACAAGGCTCCACCCAGCAGCTGGCTCCTGCTCACATACCTAAACTTAAACAATTCACAGGAAACCCATTAAAACCGACAGGTTTATTTTCTTGCTTCTTTCAGATAGGGCAAAGAAAAGCAGCAAACCAGGAGGATCAGAGTTCTTCACCACAAAAAAACTCCCCAAGTCAGTGCCAGCACTGCGCTCAGAGCCTGGGCTGCCCGTTACGAGCCTGGGTGAAGAATTGCAGGGATAAACCAAGTCACGCTGAGTTATTGGGCTCCCACAGCTCTCCTGGACCCCACAGCTCAGAAACCAGGGCCAGGCAAGACCCTGCTCTGAGTGCTCTGCAAGCACCGTGTCACCTTCAGCTTGACACGGTCCCTCCAGGTGGGTCAGAGGAGCCCAGCCCTAAACCAGGCTCTTAGAGGATTGCTTCCCATCAATCTTTTGCTAACAGTCCTATAAAGGTCATGAGAATTAAATCAAACCTCCAAAGAAGATTTTTTTTTTTTCTTTTTAAGCCATCCTGTAGATTTGGAGGAGAGTTTCACTGGTCCAGAAATAATTTCAGTGTTGAGAATAACAAAGCGTGCCATTAGTTTCTCACCCTGGAGAGCGAAGGCCACCCCTGGGGAAAACCCACTGCCCGTCCGTACCATGGCAAACCCAACGTCGGCTTTCTTCAAAGCTGGGCCATCGTTGGTCCCATCCCCGGTCACGGCCACCACCTGCCTCTGCTCACCAACGGTGCTGTCGATAATTCCTGAAATGAGGACAAGGCATTCAGAGAAAATAAGCCCCAAGGGCAGGCTCCCAGCACAGATTATGCTGCAAAAGCTCCCGGGCAGAGCAGAATGAGACACTTTGGTGAGAAGCAGCAGCTGGGGGAGCTGGCAGGCGCTCACCTTTCACGAGCGTGTGCTTATCTGTCGGGGAGGAGCGGGCCAGCACACGCAGCTTGGGCCAGATCTTATCCAGCTGCTCCTGTTCCACCTGCAGGACAAGGCACATGTGAGAAAGGGCAGGGACCCCCCCCCCCCAGAAACCTTCTGACCCGCCGGAGAGCAAACCCCAACTGCCTTCGCCTCCAAGCACCCAGACACCCCTGCGGCTGCACTGGCTGAGGATCCCGGCAAGCGGAGGGACCAGCTGTGTTTATCCAAGGAGAGGAGGAAAACCCAGCAGGATTCAGCGCCTTACACTGCTGGGGCTGTCGGAGAGGCCACCCACACCCACTGCAGAGCAGGACCCAGGGGCTGCTCTCCCACCTCTCCCTTCTCGTTGCGGATGAGCCGGTTGAACTCCTTCCCCTCCAGGCACAAGAAGTCCTCCCCTGGCAGCAGGATGCCACACTTGGTGGCGATGGCGCGGGCAGTGTTGATATTGTCCCCTGTCACCATCCGGACAGTGATCCCTGCACGCTGGCACTTGAGGATGGCGTCCGGCACCTGGGGGACGGGGACAGAGTTGGCGGGGGACAGGCAGGGCAGAGCGCTGGGGTTCAGCACTGGGTATCCCAGGAGCCAGGCGGCTCCTCTCCCATCCTCCCTAAAAGGATCTGGAGAGGGCCCCGGTGGGGTCACGGACCAGCAGCCCACCTGAATCCACTGGTGGCTCAGCTCGGTGCTCACACCGGGGACGAGATGCTGAACCAAAAACTCCCCTCCCAGAACCAGCTCAGCCGTTTATCCCTGGGGTGCAGGGGGAAGCCACCAGGGACCGGAGAGGATGCCTGCCCCTGCTCGCTGCCGCGGCCGGCTGCTCCTGCACCGCAGCCTCCTGCCCTCGCCACAGCTCCAGCCAGACTCGCGTGCGTGTCCGGAGCAGCTCCTCCGGCACAGGCAGCGTGAGATCTTCCAGTCCCTGCCCCAAGGGGAAGGCAACCTCACTGCCTCCTCCCCGTCATGCCGCGGTGCCGGGCGCCAAGGCACGGCCTGGTGATCCATCACAACGGGGGCATTTTGCATGCCCCCTCGCACCGCTCCGGCAGCACGTTGCTGCACTAATGGGTTTATCTATTACGGAGCGGTGGGGGAAGAGGATATTAGTGAGAAATTAGCAAATTGAATCAACGGCCTCCAGAGCCAGTGCAGATGGGACATCTGTAATGCAATTCCCAGACCCAGATACTTGAACATCTAATCAGGAAAGATGCAAGCAAGGCAGGAGCGCAGGGGCAAGCTCCAAAATGTAATCAAGAGGCAGGTATCGGAGAGCTTATTGCATTAGCCCAGCTGCCTGCCTGTCACCCCCACGGCGGAAGCCGGGGGGGGGGGGGGGGGGCAGCAAGCTGCAAGGGAGGAACCAGCTATATCAGCCCTGCCCCTCTCCAACACCCCTCTGTCACATCTACGTGGTGTCCCCATGCACCTTTCAACTGCTTGTGGAACCAGTCTGGCTCGTGCACAGACCCCTGGTAGCAGCTGGGGAGGAAAGTTTGGGCGGAAACACCCTGCCACCAGGTCATTTTGTCCAGGTATGCGAGAGAAACGCCAGCAGCAGGGAGCTGATAGCACGGGGCACTTCAAGGATGGGTGCAGAGGAGCTGCTTGTGCTTTCTTAAGGGGCTCATGGTCCTGAGCAGCAGGGAAAGGGGCTCCTGGCCCAGGAACGGGGCTGGGGTGGAGGACAGCCAGGGCAGAGCTGGGATTCGGTACCTCCGGCCGCACAGGGTCCTCTATCCCGACCACAGCGATGCAGGTCAGGTCAGACAGGATCTCGTTCTCACTGTCCCAGTCCGGCTCGGCGTCAGTGGGGAAGTCCCGGAAGGCCAGGCAGATAGTCCGCAGCCCGTGGCAGGCCATGGGCTCTATCACCTTCTTCACCATCTCATCCCGGTCCTTCACCTTGAACACCCGAGGGTCTCCGTTCTTGTCCAGGATCCTGGTGCACCTAACACAGGACCGGGGTGGAGGGTGAGGGAGACCGGCGGCGGCATGTGCTGCTGGTTTCAGTGATCCGCTCCCCCTGTCACCCAGGTTCCTCATCCGCAAAACGGGGCATCCCCCTTACCCACAGCTCCCTACAGCTTTACCAAAGCCACCCTAAGAGAGTTAAACCCTTCACACGGCAGCGCCTCCCGATAGTCACCTCCCTGCTCCACAGCGGCTGGGCACCCTTCACCCCGCAGCCCTCCAAAACAGCTCCACAGTGCATCAAGAGCCTAAAGCCCATGGGACAGGGAGAGGAGCAGCGTAGAGAGGGAGGACGATTACTTGCGGAGGATGATCTCGGAGGCTCCCTTGCTGTACATGCGGAAGCCGCCATTGCCGTTCTTCAGCACCGTGCTCATGGACTTGCGCACCGAATTGAAGGTGTAGACCTTGTACAGCTTCTCCTCCGGCACTTCGTTCCGCACAGCCTGGTAATCCTGCTTCAGGTCCAGCACGAAACCCAGCAGGGCGCACTCGGTCTTGTTCCCCACTTGCCGGGGTAGCCCCCCTTCCTTCTCGGGTGGCTGGAGAGGAAAAAGGAAAGGAAAAGCACTGCCAAACCTGGGTACGGCAGGATGGGAGCTGCAGGGATGGCCAACAGTGGGAAGAGGACACAAGGTTGTGGTTCTCCAACTCACCAGGATCTTGGATGTGTAGGCGGAGTTGATGGCGACACCGTTGACTATGAGGTCCAGGATCTTGGGCAGGATGGCTTCAGGGTCGGGGATCTGGCGGTAATGGGTGTCCCCCACGTAGGCCTGCACCACGGTCATGCGGTTCATGGTAAGGGTGCCTGTCTTGTCTGAGCAGATGGCGGTGGCATTACCCATGGTCTCACATGCGTCCAGGTGTCTCACGAGGTTGTTGTCCTTCATCATTTTCTGCAACAGGCACCATGACCAGGAAGGTCAGAATCAAAAGCACGAGTTTTCCCATCATGCCCCCAGCAACCCCGCTGCATCATGGTCTCACCTTCACAGAGTAAGCCAGGGAGATGGTGACCGCCAGCGGGAGCCCTTCAGGCACAGCCACCACCAACACGGTGACACCGATGATGAAGAACTTGACGAAGTACTGGATGTAAATGGGGGTGCACTCCGCCAGCCAGGGCCGTCCCTGCACCCCAAACGTGTCGATCACGAAGTACAGCACCAAGATGATGACCGTGATGGCCGACATGATCAGTCCTGGGGGAAGAGGGAGAGCGGCAGGTGAGGGGACGCAGGGGAAGGGGACAGCCCCTTCTCTCCAGGCTGCTTCCAGCAAGAGCTCTGGGGTGACAGCTCATGTCAGGCCACCGCCACTCACCTGCCTTCCCGATCTGGACCGCCAGGCGCGTGAGCTTCCCTTGCAGCACAGACTTCTCCTTCTTGGGCACCTTCACCTTTTTCTTCTCCTTCTCCTCATTTTCCACCCCTTCCTGGCTCTTCAGGGGCTGGATCTCTAAGGCCACACCATCCTGAGTTTTAGCTACAGCCCAGGGCAAAATAAGACACCACGTGTGAATAGGAGAGAGACCGGGAAAACCTGTAGGACACCACTGAGAAAGATGGTGGTGGGAGAGAGAGAAAACCCAGAACAAGAACCATTCCCGACAACACACGCATCCGAGCACATAGAAACCTTGTGTCACGGGGCCCTGCCACCTCTCTACGGGGCAGTTTTCTGCCATCTACCCCAGCCCCACAGATAAAGGATCCTCAGAGCTGACACTGGCGATGTGACCCCTGCACCGGTCACACCTCTAAGGCAGTGCTGCAAGAAACCCTCTGGTCAGGCTTTGGGGTGGAGGCAGGTCTCTTCCAGCCTCGCCTGCGGGCTGCTTTACACCCTGCAGCAGATGGGGAGCACTTTGGGCTGACCCCAGAGAGGCTCCGGTCCCCCCCTGTTCCCTGATGAGCATCCCTGCTCTG